GTAAATAGGAGCAGATATCAAAAGATATTTTTATTCTGCTGCTGCCTTTCATTTTATTTTATTTGTATTGTTTTGTTGTATGTAATGTTTTCTTTTTTAAAATGAAATGAATAAATACTATAAACTAAGCAAAAATATCTGTAACAGGGTCACAGATCATTTTCTTGAAAAGGAACGGAGGGTAGAATTTATAACCCACACATTTTATTATGTAGGACAAAACTGAGCTTCCTGTTGTTGAAAGACCAGCATCCACCACTGCTGCAAACTCACAAAGTCACTGTGACACAGTGTCACCTTTGTGCACACACTGTAATTGTGTGCACAAACACCAAGCGGCTTTGTGTCACTTTTTTAGTAGAAAATAAATGTGTTTTATAGAACTTAAAGGACAATTGCAGTTCCTCCATGATCACAGTTAGGTCCGAACCTAGTGAACAAACTACCATTCCTTCATTCTGGATGGTTTTTGGTTTTGCTCCTTTGTGATGCAAAGGGTGAGTAACACAAAAGGCTGTCTGTAATTTATTTCTTTTCCCAACTGGAACTCAGTCTGTGCCGGAAGGGCCCCCAGATGCCCACCAGAACTCTTGAACCATGCTAGAAGGGCCTTTGGCCCTTTATAAAGACTAGTTGTATTTTTTCACATTAAGGTTTTTGCCTGTGAGTTTTTGGTTAATTAACCCATTTGTGCCCAATTTTTTTCAGAGTTGTAAGGCATATCATTTTATCAGTTGAGTCCCTCTGAATCATGTTATGTAATTATTTTCACTATTTTGTACTTTGTTTTGAAGAAAATAGTATTTTTATGACCTGCAACAATTGTTGCCAGTGGGCACACAGCTTGTCACTCTGTCCAATGTTACCTGTTCATAATAGAGAACTAATAGTAATATCAAAATAATAATGTGGTCAGAATAAATAATAACTAAAAGGTGGAGCCTCAGGTTCCTCCTATAAAAATACCAAACAACAAAAAATATGAACAGTTTTTTTATTCTTAATGTTTTATACTCAAAACTTATTTTATTTCGTAGAACCTCTAATAACACATATATGTATATATTTCATCCTATAAATTGCATCTTTCATGCATGTTCTACTCAGTGTGCTACTTCTTGAAGCACTCCACATGTAGTGACACATCACACTTTTCACACACAAATGATGTGCATGTGCCACAGTTTCCTGAGTCCTGCAGAGTCCTGCAGAGTCCTGCAGCATGGCCAGGACCTCTGCTACAGACCTGCCTAAACAAAAAACACATGCATGACTGTTTTTTTTTTTTTATTTGGACCTATTATTTTATGAAAAATGCTTACATTAATAACATACCGGAGGTGAAAGGTGATTTATTTGTGGACCGGTATTCCCTATGTTGTGGGACAGTTTTTTGGCACACACACGTACTTGTGGGGACCTAATGTTACATATGTGGCTCTGACTGGTATGGGGACCTGAATCTTGTCCCCATAAGGGGAAACACCGCTGGTGGGTCGGGTTTAAGTTTAGGGCTAAGGTGTGAATTGAGTTTAGGTTATTTTTAGGGTCAGGAAGGTACCTGTGAGGTTAACCTTAGAGTTGGTGGTCAGGGTTAGGCTGTAGAAAATAATGGAAGTCAATGCCAGGTCCCCATAAAGATAGCTGTATCAGATTGTGTGGTATCTTTTACAAGCTATACACACAGGCCTTGAATACCTATGGATTTATTTAGCTAGGAAGAGTATCCTAAGAAGGCTAAAATAAGACATTGTTCATCATTCTGCAATTTGAAATAAGTAAATTAGACACAATCCTGCAGACAGTGTTTTCCTTTAGTTAGCAACAAGCTATTTGCCCATTGACAACTTTTGTTGCCGCTTACAGAAATAAGCCCATTAACAAAAAAATATTTATTCTTGGTACAATTTTTGGGGGTAGGGTTATTTTAGAGACTTGAAAGATTAAATAATTATATATATCTGGGGTAAATTATAAGAAATTTTATGAAATTGACCTCTTTCCAGGATGATTTGCATCTTTCATGTCTTCAGCCGGAAGGAGCGGGAAGCATATGATGTTATGCAAGAGGAAGCACTTGGAAACATTTTTTTCAAAATCAAAACCTTTGTCTAAGTCTTCTACTAGTGTATAAGTGGAAAATGTTGCATTAATACCTTTGAGATTTTTTTTACTTAGTCAAAAATGACAGTGAGACACTTTGGCAACAATTGTTGCCAGTGGGGCAAAATGGGTTAATGTCTTTGCCCCTTCTCCCACCTGAGTTAGAACATAGTTTTGTATGTCATGGGCCATCCTTGATTGGGGTGGGGGGCGTGTTTGTGCCCCATGTTTCTTTATTTTCTTATATTTCTGTTTCCCATTGTCTCTTGTCATTTTTTTCTTTCCCTCAGTCAGATTGTTTTGCTTCCCTTCAGTCAGTGAATCATTCACACCTGTTCATTCAAGGTGACTCCAGAGGTCTCATCAGACCCTGCTTTTAGTCCCAGTCCTTCATCACCACTTGTCAATTCAACATTACCATTCCTCCCTGTGTGTTCCTGGTTCTTCTTTCTTGCTGTTATAGTCATTTTTGCACCACACCGGCCTTTGTTTTCATGTATACAACAAAACAATTTTACTTTGAGTTTCTCACATCTGTCTGCAACTTGGTCTATTTGCTAAAAAACCTCACACTGGAAACAAATAAAGAACCTCAAAATGTGTTTATAGTAATGATGATGATAATTATTCTAGTTCATAGTATTTTCTGACTTTTTATAGGGCACCCCAACATTTCAGAAGTTAAACCTTGAGTTGCTGAGGCACAAGATTGTATGCTGTATCATACATATTTGTTTTCTCCAAAGTACAGTCAAAAGATCAACCAAAGAATGGACTTTATTGATGTTACACCAAAACTAATAATTTTAACTTTAAACTGATAGATTTCATAAAATGACTGCAGGGAGATTAAGAGTGAAAATAAACACAAAACATGAAAGGGTTCATTCTGATCAGTTTATTAAAGTTCAATGGTCCACTTTGTTCAGATTTATTATGTAAACAGCACTTCTGGTCAAATTCATTTAAATTCCAGTATAATGGTTAAATTCACTGCTGATTTTTTAAAATAGCTGCTAAGTTGCTGTGGCTGCTGGTGTCTCGTTACTGTCAGGCGTATGGTCATGTTCATGGTGGTCTTGATGTTTATAACCACGGTCTTGGTGATCCTTTTCTTTATGATGCCTATGGTCATGACTATCTTGCTCATGGCTGAGGTTGTGTTGTTGGTGGTCATGTTGATGTTCATGGTTATGTTCATAACCAGGATCATGGTAATAGTGCTGGGCATGTTGGTGTTCATCATGTTCATGGTTTTGTTGATAGTCATGGTCGTGGTCATGTTCATGGTCATGTTTATATCCAAAAAGGACACAAACAGGCTGGACAAACTGATCAAACGAGCCGGATCTGTTGTTGGCATGAAGCCGAACTCTATGGTGACAGTAGCTGAGAAGAGGTCTCTAAAGAAAATATTGCACATTATGGACAATGGTAAGCACCCTCTGCACACTGTGCTCAACAACCAGAGGAGCCAATTCAGTGGAAGACTGCTTCTCCCCAAATGCAGAACCAACAGACTAAGAAACTCTTTTGTCCCTCAAGAGATAAGGCTGTACAACTCCTCGCTGGGAGGGAGGAGGGGCGCAACTAGTCTACAGTGTAATAACTACTGAATAATGTGTGTTTACTTTGACCTTCTCTTTTGACCTTCTCTTTTGATTTTTGTCTTGACTTGTTTTTATGATGATGTAAAATGTGCAATATCTCCATTTGACTGGTACATGACCTCCCTTATTTTAATCTGGATTGTACTGATGCTGCTGGAAATGTAATTTCCCTGAGGGAACCCTCCCAAAAGGGATCAATAAAGTTTTATCTAATCTAGTGGTGATCATCTTTATGATTGGGTTGGTCATAATGGCCGTGGTGGTCTTATTCATGGTTGTGGTAGTCGTGGATGTTGTGTTTGAGCTCATGGTGGTGTTTGCGATGGTAGAAGTGCTTGTGTTTATTGTAATCTTGGTATTCATGGTGGTGGTTATTGTGATAATGTACGTCATGGTAATGTATATAGTCTTCGTGGTGGTCATGGTCATCATGATTGTGGTGATCATCTTTGTGGTTGTGTTGATGATAATTATCATGTTCATGGTCATTGTTGTCATGATCATGTTTGAGATCATCCTGGTTTTAGTGATGATACTTGTCATTGTTATGGTCAAATTGTTCATCACTGTGGTTGTGGTGGTCATGGTGATTGATTTGATTTGATTTATTTAACAGGAAAAGATTATTAAAAATCAAGCCTGACTCTGCATAATTGCTGTTTTACAGCAGTTTCCTGTTCTGCAGCACATAAAACACTCAGAATTACAGCATCAGAATCACATCATTATGCACCATAGAAACAAAGACAAACAAGCATACAAAATTTCAAAAAGGCAGCATTTGCAAAATAAGACGTCTAAATATGAGCACAACAAAAAGTGTCCAGCAGATGGCAGACAAGATTCTTCTTAAAGGGCTGTGGTTTTGAAATGGACTTTATATATTGAGGAATGTCATTCCATGCTTTAGTATAAACATAGAAGAAAGACCTCTGGCTGTAAAAGTTTTTAAAAGTTGGTAATRTCAGTTGTCCTTTTGTAACAGATCTAGTTGAATGACCACTTCCCGAATTTGATTTGGGCAGCAATGCACAGAGAGTTCCATAATTGGCACCTTGGAAGATCTGAAAATATAAATTAATACCACTATACAAAACATAATTCTGAAAAGTCAAGGCATCAGACAATGAAAGAACTGTACAGTGATGAGTCCAACCAGGAAGTTTTTTATGAATTTTGTAGGCACTGTTGTAGAGCCTAACTATGGGTTCTAAGATTTCATTTGTTGTAAGAGACCAAACAGGTAAACAGTACGACATGGTTGAGAGTATAATGGCATGAAGATAGATATTTGAAACAGAAGATGTCAGATTGGATCTAATTTTTGAATAAACGTATAATTTCTGTTTCAACTTAGTGGTTAAGACTTGTACATGATCACGATAAGTCAACTAAGAATCCAAAGTAATTCCAAGATATTTGTAGGTAGTGACAATATCAAGGGGTTTGTTTAAAAAAGTGAGTTGATTTGTTATATTGAAATGTCTCCTGGGTGAGGAAAAATACATGCACACAGTTTTTTAACATTGATTGACAAAAGATTATCTTGAAGCCAACCATGAAATGTCTGAAGATCTGCTTGTAACTGACTATGAATGGATTCAATATTGAAATCAGACAAAAAAAGAACAGTATCATCAGCATACATTAAAATATTTGAAWACTTCAATATTTTTGGAAGGTCTTTTATGTACAATAGGAAAAGTAATGGGCCCAGTATGCTACCCTGCGGAACTCCCACGGAAGAAGGCAGAGACCCGAACACAGAGCTTCCATGTTTCACAACCTGACACCTRTCAGTCAAATAAGAGGAAAACATTTGTAYTSCWKWTGATGAAAGTTGAAAAGAAATCAACTTTTGTAAGAGAGTATAATGATCAACTGTGTCAAACGTTTTATGAAAATCAATATATACAGCACCAGTTACTGGACCTTTGTTCAAAGCAGCACGTATTTGTTCAGTGAATAAAATTAATGCAGACATGGTTGACCATGATGTGCGGAAACCATGTTGGCTATTGCTTAGCATATTATTAGCTTCTAGATGCTGAAGTAGTTGATTAAATAATGTTTTTTCAAGTAGCTTTGAAAAATAGGAAGAACGGAAATTGGCCGATAGTTTGAAACTTCTGTTGGATCACCAGATTTAAAAATGGGAGTAATCTGAGCAAACTTCCAGGCATCAGGGAAAATAGACTGCACAATACATAATTTAAGCAAATGATGAAACAATGGTAAAAAAGTGTTGACATGCATTTTCAAGAAATCCATATTTATCTTATATTTGTCAAATGCATGTGAGCCATTTAGAGATTGGAGTGTATTCAAAACATCACTCGGTGAAATTTCAGAAAATGAAAATTGCTTTGAAGTGTCAGGATATTTAAATAACAAAACTATTAGCTTGTCCCGGTAATGATGTCCTTACTGAAGAAATAAAATATTCATTAAATAAGTTAGCAATTTTTTCATGATCAGAAACAAGAAGTCCATTTACTGAGATTTGTGAATTGTTATTAAATGTTTTATTGTTACTTTCACCTGTCACTGACTTAATCGTTTCCCATAATATTTTTGGATTCTTAGATTCTTACTGTCTGAAATAATTAGATTTTTAAAATATTGTTGTTTGGCTTTGCGTAATTCAGCAACACATTCATCTCGATAACTAAACAAGACCGATTTTCAGAAGTTTTTGATATTCTACAAGTT